GTTTTTATGTTTTTTCAAAAAATCGCATTATGGTTATTTTGAAAGGTTGCATCTTCTCGAAAAAACCGCTTTATGGTTATTTGCAACCGTTGCATCTTTTCGTTAAAACCGCTTTGTCAAGAGTTGCATTTTTTCGTTGTAACCGTTTTGTCAAGAGTTGTGTCTTTTCATTATAACAATTTTGTCAAAAGTAGCGTCTTTTCTATAATAACCGTTAAGTAGTTATTTTTTGAAGTAATCGCTTTATGGTTATCGCTAAAAGTTGCGTCTATTAAAATCGTTTAGCCTATATATATATGTTTTAATTTTTATGTTTTATTAAAAAAATCGCATTATGGTTATTTTGAAAGATTGTATCTTTTCGAGAAAACCGCTTTATGGTTATTTTTTTCGTTAAAACTGCTTTGTCAAGAGTTGTGTCATTTCGTTGTACCGTTTTGTCAAGAGTTGTGTCTTTTCATTATAACTATTTTGTCAAAAGTTGTGTCTTTTCGAAAATAACCGTTAAGTAATTATTTTTCGAAGTAACCGCTTTATGGTTATCGCTAAAAGTTACGTCTATTTAGAAAAATCGTTTAGCCTATATATATATATATTTTTTGTTTTTCTGTTTTTAAAAAAAAATTACATTATGGTTAATTTGAATGGTTGCATCTTCTCGGAAAACTCGTTTTATGGTTATTTGCAAGAGTTGCATCTTTTCATTAAAATTGTTTTGTCTAGAGTTGCTTTTTTCGTTGCCACTGTTTTGTCAAGAGTTGTGTATTTTCATTATCACTATTTCGTCAAAAGTTGCATGTTTTCGAAAATAACCACTTTTTGGTTTTCTTTAAGAGCTGCGTCTTTTCAAAAATGAAAAATTTTTGGGTTGTGATTTTTCGTAAAAAATCGTTACGTAGTTATTTTTCGAAGTAACCGCTTTATAGTTATCGTTAAAAGTTGCGTCTTTTCGAAAAAATCTATTAGCCTATATATATATATGTTTTAGTTTTTCTGCCAGTGATCATTTTGTTAATTATGATTATTGGTTCTATAATTCACTTAAAGCGTAAGATAGATTAAAACGTCAATCTATTATTTTTAAATTATTTTAAAATATTGAACTTTTTACTATTGATGAAGTTCCTAAAATTCTTAATTTGTGTAAAGAATTTTGGATTTCTTTAGACAATGCAGTTATTATTGTGTCTTTTCGAAAAAAAACCGTTTGTTCTATATATTTGTGATTTTAACTCTATATTTTTTTTGTTGAACATTTTGTGTATTTTTATATGACTACTAATTTTAAAATTTATTTAAAGCATAAGAATGATAAAAGCGACATTCTATTATTTTAAAATTATTCGAATGTATTGACATTTTGAGAAATTTTAAGAAATGTCAATTTTCAAAAATGCCACATTTTCAAAATCTTTGCAAAAAATGCCACTTAAAAAATTATTTTTTATATTATATCATTTATATTTGGGTTAATTATGCTGTATTAGGGTTTAGTTTTGAGGGTTTAAGAGGGTTTTAGGAGTCAAAACATTTTTTAGGG